AAGTGAAAAGAGAATAGACAGGTGGGACCAATAAAGGCATCCCTTTCTCTGTGCTGGCTTCTTTCTCAAGGTTTGTATCAAACAGATTAATTATCGATTGTGAAAGTCGGCAGAGGGTTGACTGTTTCTTTGTTTGTTCAATAGATATGAAAGATATTTAAGGGTACTTCGGTTTTCCATGTTTCAGAACAATGATATTTTATTATTCAATAAATTATTATGTGGTACACAAATACTGTAACCAAGCTGAATAAACTGTTACTTGTCTTACATTGAAAGACAGTTTAACTAACCTCAATGTCTATATATGCCTATATATATATCTACCCGTTTTTACTGGATAAAAATATGTGACTATATGGTTTGGTTGTGTGACTTTTCCCATGCATTTCACAGTGACCAGGTTGGCTAAACATATGAATCCTGATTGGTTTATCCTTGTTATTGTGGTATTTCTGGTCGATCATCTTCAGCTTTGTGCTAATTTGAGCAAAATTATATCAATTTCGTTATCGCCAATTAAGAACTATTATCATTCGATGCATTTCATCTTTCCCTTCATTGGCAAAGCCCACCAAGTGACCTGCAAATAACCAATCTCGCACCACTGTCCTCTAGTCTTCATTCCTCACTGCGCATGCTGGCTTGATGAAACGGTCGTTTCCTGACCGCTGGGCAACGGGAACGAAGAGGCTGGGTACGAGGGAGGCAAATAACTGCCTTCAAATAATTGTCTGCTCATGTGTAAATGTGTTTTGCTGCAAATAATATTCTACTCATTCATAATTGTAACAGGCTCTCACGTGAAAAATGGCAGATGTCTGAGCCGTCAGAGTGATTTTGAAATATCAAAGCAAATTTGGTGATCGAGTGATTAAAAAAAATTTGAACTTGGCCATCGCAAAATATCGTGATTTGTCAGAGTCGCGCATATCAATTATTTGCCAAAGCGGAAGGCTGAGGCAAAAAACTGCTCTGCTCGCCCCTTACAAGTCAGTCAAATCACGATACCGTAAAATCCCACGTTAACGCCCTGGACTTATATAACTTCATAAGGGGTTTCGGGTGGGCTTATAAACGGGGGAGCTTATATTCGGGTGGCATATAAGCGGAATAAAAAAAAAATGTTTTGGAACGACGAGATAAAACATGTCTGAGTTAAAGCTAATATACCATTACATCTAGAGCTATTACGCTATCCTATTACCCTGTTACCCTATTATTACCCTATTAGCCTATAACTTTCCGTTAAAAACTTTGATGTTTGTAAAGAAACGTAAAAGGAACGCACTTATACATTAGATGGGCTCATATCCGGGCGGGGGCGGCTTGTATCCGGGGGGTCTTATATTCTGAATAATATCTTTGTTAGCAAACAGAAGGGCTTATATCCAGCGAGGCTTATTACCGGGGGGGGGGGGAAGGGGCTTTTTTTGCTTAACCTCGTCCATTAATTGTTATTAATACAAACCAGCTGTACATTATTTTTTCCTTACTTTTTGCAGGTCACGTTGTTTCTCTGATTACAGAAACATCACTATGCAATACAGTGATAAATCTTGCACGCAGTTTGGTTTAGGCTGTTCAACCCCAAGTTACCATCGAAAATTAAAAATACCTTTGAAAAAAACAAAAAATTTCTCTATACGAGAGAATTCATCGGAAGACTCATAACGATATCATAGCGATGTCAAACAGATAAGAAACGAAATTTAAAAACAATAATAACAACAACAACAATAATAATAATAAAGAACGCGAAAAGGGAAAAAATCAGCTGAATGATGTCTTCATACAACGCACCAAATTAAAAGAGACACAGTCCCATCAAGTTTTATTGAAAAGATCAGCGGGTGCAGGGAACCCAATGCTCACAGTGTTGTTATTTTCAGCGAGGACGCGTACTCCCAGATAAGACAGTAAGCCATCCACAGACAAACCCTGGCTTCGTATTATATTTGCGTACGCTTCCGCTTCAGCTCTTAAAGCTGCAAGGATGCTAGCAGCTTCAGCCTCCGCCTTGGACAATATGACCCTGCTGTCTGAGTTGGCCGTTTGGATGCTGATGCGGCCCTGTGTGACAGCCTCTTCTTTCTTTGTTTCCGCCTCGATCAGCGCGCGCGGTCTCTCGTTCTTTGCGATGTTGATGTTTTCTTTGGCGGATTCTTTGTTTCTCACTACTGTTTCGTACTCATCAGGCCGCTTGATGTTACTCACTTGTAGGTCAGTTATGTCGGCATTGACCTCAGTGAAGCGTTTCACCATTGTTGTGTACACGAATTCTTGGAAGAAAGAGCGCCGGGTCTGGAATTCACTGGTGTTGAACTGGCTGCAAGAGTCATGAATGCTTGCGCGAGCCAAAAACCTGCCACAAATACGAATTAGCAAACTATCAGTGAAAAACTTCTTCTTTCGTTTTCCACTATTATTTCACGTAGCAAATAAAATATAATAAAATAAAAATAAGCAATTTTAAAAAAGTTTGTGAGGCCCAGGTTTATGGCCGGAAAGTTTTGAAGTAACTACGTCGCAACTTTCAAAGTACTCGTGTTATTACGTGATTGGACAATCAGATTCGGGCATTTGTCGGGTGCTATAACGAGTACTCCAAATAGCGGCGCCTTTGCTGCTGACTGAACGATTGGCCATTTTGTTATAGTTTTAACCGTCACTTCTTAAGATGTATGTTGTAACGTACGAAACGTCGAGTTAGTACAGTTAAGATTTTTGGACCATGCATTGTCTATTTGTAATGTTTGTAACCGCTGTTTGTTTTCTTTTTCTTCAAACAGTTTTACTTACTTGAGTATCTCGACGTAATTTGAGTGGTTTCTAAATTCCATGACGATTTCCCGCAGCTTTTGAGGTCTGGCGCGGTACTGAAACTCGATCTGCAGGACAATCTCGACTCCTTCCTTATTAAGACAAATTTCGTCATCAAACTCCAGGCTTTTGAAAACACTTGGGAACTTGATGAACTTAAAACCGGGGGGACCGTTGTGTAGGCCTGCTTTCCGAGTGGTGGGGGATAGTTTCTTTTGGTACGTGTCGTAGGCAACACCGACTGTTGAGGCAAAAAGTAGTTTTCAAAGATATTTAAGCAATAGAGCACTTTTTCCGTGTTTACATAGCCTCGTCTGAACACGAGGAGGGTTGGGAAAATTTGAGATGGTTATGCAAACACGAGAAGTAGTCGAGGGTTTGCATAATTTTTGAGAATTCTCCCAACCCTCCGAGTGTTTAGATGAGGCTATGTGAACACGGAAAAAGTGCTCTATTGCTGTTATAAGATAATTCTCAAAAATACGCGAGTATCTATAACGTCACAACCGTGTTTATACAGTCTCATCTAAACACACCTTACGACTAGTGAGACTGCGCGTGGTAGCTCAGTTATTTTATGAAATATAATGTGTATTTCCTCCATTAAGCACACGAGTACCATCGAACAATAGTACGTTTTACAGTACTATTAGTGGTTAGCTTTCCTACGCAGAAATATTTACCCTTTCATATAATGACCTATAGTGTTGCTTTTGTTTCACACTTGATGCTGATAAAATTAGGATCACGTTTAGTTTAGGTTTAAAAGCATTTTGTCTAGCCACAGCTGTGACTGGTACCAAAATCTACAGTTTAAAAGTTAGTTTTGGGTTAGTGATTCATATTGGCTCTCGGTTTAACTCGTTATTTCCTTAGTTTCTTAAGAATTCACGAATTGACCAATCACAGCTCAGTGAGCGAACTTAAACGCCCGTTTTCGGTCAGTTTAGTTCTTGATTGCCGGCTTCAGCAGAGAGAAGACATCAAATAAACCAGGTTTTGAACAAGTGAAGCGGTTTCCTTCAGTTTCCCACTTGTTCCATCTGTCTTGTAACAGACATGACGGAGCCTACAATAAGTTCTGTGGCTTTTGAAAAAACTTTCTGTGCTAGCGAACGGGTTGAAAGAGGAAAAAATCTGTTCTTCTTCTCTTTTTTTTGCTATAAAATTGTGGGTGTTTGATAGTGTTTAATGTCCGAGTAACGCAGTTCATTCGTGGATCTCTTAAGATCTTTGATACCTTCTGACCTTGAGAATAGATTTCTAAGGTTTTAAACTTTGTTTGGAAATAATTGTTGTTGCAAATACACATCACTCTTTGTGACAGCTTTATTGAGAACTGTGTATGTTAAGAAATCGGATTGAAGCCGACAATAATGTAAGAATTGTTGTTCTTGTTTCTTTTTTTCTTGAAGCAAGCACGCTTAAAGAGAAAAACATGTAGTAAAGGGACATAGCACTGTAAACCACAAAACAAAATACAACTGGATGGAAACTTTCATTCCGTGAATTTTTACTCCACAGAATGTAAACAAATGTACTCTTAATTAGAGCAACAAAAGCCATTAAAAGAGGTATCGCGCTGTAAATCGCAAAACAAAATACATTTACAGAGATAGTAAGGAAGGGCAAATGCAACAGAAAAACTTGTATTTGATTTTTTTTCTTTGATATTTCACAATAGACATTTTTTTCGCGTGATTGCACTCGACCTTTTAAAACCGGACACAAATAGTGTTATACATGTAACGCATATAACGTGGGTTTTTAAATACGGAATCTTGTTTTGGTTCAAAAAGCATATTTACTTAACAAAAAAGTTAATAATTAACGTCTCGGTTTGCTAGATCTTCTTGTTACAGCTTTGGTTATAAATATCGATACTTTAAAAGCGATGAGGAGAACAAAAAATTCCAGTTTTTTTTTTTTTCGATTTTAGCAGTGCTTTTTGACAGCCGATGGATTAAGACTAGATTACGAATCTCTTGATTTAGACGATTAAAAAGTAGAAATTTCATAACGGTGGTAAGCTGTGACACAATAACTGCCTTGTTCCCAAGAGTTCCTCCTTTACTGAAGCCTTGAAGTGAGGCCGGCCCATCAGAGTGTTCGCCCATGGTGTTGTGGGCCTATATATACACCTCGAAAATCCGAACGCAACTTAACCATTAACCCGTATAGCAAGCGTTTCCGTAGTAAAGTGCGAACGAGTTAAGTCTGGTCGCGCTAAACTAGGGGCGAGAGCACAAAAATAAAAGACGGGGTCGGATGTAGCTTTGTCGATATTTTTTGCTCTAGACCCAATTTTCGCGTGGCCAGTGCTGAGTGTTTGTTCAAGAACGCTTACCATCAAGCACCGCGCTCCTTATGTCAAGCTCTTAGTCTTTGCCGACGAAGCGCAACAGCGCCTGTCAACAGCGCCTGTCAACAGCGCCTGTCAACAGCGCCTGTCAACAGCGTACAGTCCGCATAGAAACAAGTCAATGAATACATTTCGTTTCAGTTCTTGCATTTTAAATTCCTTACATCAGTAAGAATTAAATCAGGCAAAGGCCTTTGCATGCAGAAGTAGGCACTAAGAGCTCTTTGATTTGTCATCATCACCACGTTTTGACGTCATCTGTGACGTGACGCGAAATCCTCCAGAATACATCCTCCAGGATATAAAGCACGAAAATTAAAGAATTCATCATATGACAATGGCAAAGAAATAACTATTGTTATGCCAAACCTACTTTGTCTTACAGTGCGCAATGATGTATGTAGACGGGAGATGTAGACCACATTAAGCATTTCGCTGTTTAAAAAGAAATTTAAAAGATCCGGCGACTACAGTGAGAGATCAATTGATAATAATTTAACCAACCTTGATCAGAATCCAATTTCCGTAAAGAAGTAGCTATAAGAACTATTGCCATCACTACAATTCCAAAAAACAAAGCACAAATTCCCATGCAAAGGCGGCTCTTGAAGTCAGCCATTTCTGCGCGTTCTGTAACTGCACGTACTGTGTGACTGTGTGACTGGGTGTGATATATTAAAACAGGGAGTGAAGGGGGCGGGGGAGCTGAATGATAGTAGGATTGGCGTTTCACTGGGGGTGCGAAAGAAAGTGGCCAGAGGATTTGATACCTGAACGATGATTGCATCTCTCGCGGTCTAAAAGTCACCCCCCCCCCCCCCCGCTTCATCAAAACATTGGATTACTGTTACCTGTCAAGTGTTTGCTTTCGGCAGAAGACTGATCGGAGATCGTGAGGAAAGTTTGCTTCAAAAATCGATGCCATGGCGGATGAGGTCGACGAGGAATATGGAGGCAGACCTCGTGTCGAAACTGGTGGAGGAGACGGGTGGAAAAAATGTCTTTTTATCTTCCTTGGAGTCGGAATTTTGCTCATGGTAATCATCTTACCCATTGGCTTTGTTGGTGTTGAGTATTATCAGGTACGTTTCGTCTCTATAAAACTTCGTTGCATTATGATTGCAAATAAGGAACCTCAAAGATGATGTCTTAAAGCGTAATTACAATTAACGTTTTAACAAAGTTAGACTCTTTATTTAAGCTTAAACTGGAGGATGCTTGCATTTCAAGAAAACCCACCCCTGCTGGTGCATTAGGTCACGCAACTCAAAAACTAAAACCTTGAAATTTACTTTAAACCTTCAATAAATTCATAGTTAGTACTGACTATGATAAATCTAAGCTTATTCTCAGTTTCAAGAACTGCTACGCACGTAAGCTTGAGTTGAACAGAAGCTCTTCCTCCACGATGATATTCGCCATGTATGTCGAATTTTAGGCCGATTTATTTTGCATGCGGGCTTCTTCCCATTGCCCTCTAATCGAATCCCATTTTAGAACGGACTCCTCGACATGTCAGGTCACAAAAGAGGGTGGTAAAGGCCTCTACGTATTGTTTTAGACTTAAGATGGAAAATTCTGTTCTTTATTAAATATATAAACATGAAAAAAAAGTACCAGACTTTTTATTGTTCTTAAAATTTGATATCTTTGCTATGCGCAGTGAAGATACTATGGGCCCGGACGCACTGGGCAAATTTTTGTTTATTTTGCGAAAAAATCTGTCATCAATTCCCTGAGACAAGTGCGTCCGGTGATTTTTAGATCTAACAAATTTTGTCAAGGCTTACCAAACTTCAAAGACGCCGTCGTCCTGCCTTGGAGCAGGACAAATTTTTGTCAGGCGTGAAATCTGACAGATTTGTCAATTTACACGCCATGATTTGAAGGAAAAGTCAATCAAGAAAATTTGGTCTCTATTTTTAGTTGGAGTATTTCAGTCCGAAGCCCACCAAAATTAAATTTATATTTGCGCGGCAATCAAACGATAAACATGGAAGATTCGTACCTCGGTATGCTCCATGACGATCTGTTCGCACAGTACAACTATTACGGTTCCCAAGTCTACGTTAACGTTCCAACTGCATCTCCAGGACCAAGCTCTGCTCAATTTGTACATCCGTATGTCCACCCGAGTCAGCCGAGTACAAGTACAAGTGCAAGTTTCACGACTACATGTA